CCCCAAAACCCCAAAACCCCACTTAAAAGAATATTTAATATTTCTGTTATTTGTGAATGAAATTTAAATTTCCCACAAAAATTTATAATAGTTTTACAAATCTGATAAATAAAATGGACTTCAGTTCAAATTAGTTCCAAGGAAACTACTAGCAATTTAATGATTATACAATGATGCAGTAAAATTACAAGAACTATGATGATAACCTCAACTCTTATGAGCCTTTAGATGAATATACTATTAGCTCTGAAAGAACTAGTATAATGACTATCAAAAGACCCAACTATCTCGAAGTAATTTGAATTTAAATTTAAATCTAATGCCAATCTAGACATTAAAATAAAAATGTATTGATAGAGTATCTCTATAAAGAAGAGAAAGAATACAAAGATATAGATAAAACATAATGCTCACCGAAAGCAGTAAGTTAAAGATAAATTATTTAATATGGTTAAATAGAACTTAAGAGCAATTACATTGGAAAACAAGTCAATAATGAGTTATTCTAAGATGACTTCTTGCAGCAAGTAGTAAATGATGTCTACTGGAATAGTTATGATCCCGCTTAAGATGACCCACAAGTCTAAAGTAAAGATGATTAGGAGTCAATACCACCTCTAAATGAAGAAGAGGTTTAATACTTAATGCGTGAAGTCAACTAATATCTTGCTGATCAACTAATATAAGATTAAAAATAAAACGAGTAGCATTATTATGAATAGTATCAGTGACAACTTAATGAAATAGAACCTCAAATGCTTGCAATGTCTTATGACCCCTTTAATAATGATGTGTATGTATGTGCACTCTGTAAGAATTAAGCATTCCGGGTGCATGGGACTAAAATTATCTGCGAGAGACCTAATTGTTTAAACTTAGACTTAGAGGTAAATTATTATTCTTAAATTCCTAGACTGATTAATTCCAAATGGAGTCAGTGATGAATATGATATTGAAATTAATGAATGATCACTAGGAGACTGACTGCAACAATCATTAATAGCAAAGTATAAATGATAGCTTAAAGATTAGTATCACCAAATCAGCTAACATGATTAATATGCTTTCAGATGATAGTTAGGAAGTCTATTAAAACAATACAGCTGTTGATAATATGCAGGATGGTTACTACAATCCAATGAATCCTCAAGCTATGACCACTCAGAACATTGAATTGAATTCAAAGGTAGCTTTGAATGTAAACTGCCAGTGCTGTGGCTATTTTGACTTCTATGAGATTGATAGCTGCTATTGATTCAAATAGACTATAACGTAAGGTAAATAAATGTTAGAATAAGTAATTAATTTCATAAGTTTATTCTATAAAATTTGTTTATTTAGATTTTGGGGTTTTGGGGTTTTGGGG